AWWGRKTWWWAKTWRWWAAMAARCCSCAAWGATTCCTGTTCACTTCATTTTCTTCAGTCTGCAAAGTGTTTATAACACGTTTTTTAATCGTTTGTTTGTTGTCGTATGTTATGGTTGTAATAAAGTGAATTATGTAACAGGGCTAAAGTGATGAATCAGTCTCAGTAAATGTGTCAGTCAATATAAACAACACAATAAAATTCCAAGGAAATCTACAAAACAACAAGTGTACATGAACAAACAACTGATGTGTTCACTGATGTGTTCATTCACTGTTCAAGTAGAAATTCAAACATGAACTGAAATAAGCAAATTGTAGTAAATAGATACTGCAATTTGTATTGAGGTTTACTTATATATAAGTAAATATATTACATTTATGTTTTTTGTGGTTTTATGAATTTTATTTGTATTTATTTACTTTTTTGTAATCACCTCTTCTTCTTTGTTATGTTTTTATTCTTATCTGTAATTACTGCATTTTTTCTTCAATTACTCTTGAAAAACTAAAAACTATATGTTTAGTTTTGGTATTTTCCACATTTTCATCCCGTAATATATTTTACTATTGTTGTATTGACGTTGTATGCTTTGTTAATTATAAGTGTTGGACTGCAAATGTTGAAAATTTAAAACTTTCGTAAGGGTACACAGAGGATTCATTCAGATTTAAGAGGTTTAAGCTCTGTGAATGGCCAAGGACAATTTTTGCCGAACACCTTTTTGCCAAATTTGTATGTAAGGACACTATAAAATAGATTTAAAATTAAAGTATCACTAAAATATTATCATAAACACATTGTTGGCTGAAGTTCATCAACTCATCATTTTTTAAACACCTAAGCTGGTGCATGGTTTACTGGGCAGGTTTGTAGCCATCATGCTTGTGCCAGCTACTGCAGCCAGCTCTGAGCTTCTCATTGCTGACAAATGATAGAAGCTTTGCAAAGACTGATTCATCATTTTCAACTAATGTGTAATTGATGCTTTTGCTCTTTTTGTATTTCAAAGTAACATCCCCTGCAGACGAGCCACATTACGCTGTGACTAACTCTGAGCTGGCATGCAGTCTGATTTGTTAAAAAGATGTAAGTGGGAGTGGGACGATCGCAGTGAAAAGCTGCAGCGTCACTCGGTGAGAAATAGTAGTTGAGAAAGTATTTTTGGGACGCTTTCTGACTGCATCACTCGTCAGCATCTTACTGCCAGCAGGTCAGTGGGCAGTGCATTGTTGAAGCCTGCATTAGTTTTCATACAGACTTTTTAGTCCTCTTAACTGAATTCCTCTCCTCCCACTGTACCGCTCCTCTGACTCTGCTGCCACCCAGTCAACAGGACAGCTAATGGGGTTGTCAGCGGTTAACAGGCCTGTGATGCTGTTGTCGGGAACATTAACACAGCAACGCCACCACAATGAATGTGTTATCGAGCCTCGCCATGGCTACTTACAGACGCAAATTAATGAATAGGACTTTAATGAGAGGTGCTGTCGCTGTGCTGGTGGAATTTTCCTAAGAATATTATTGAAGAGAATGAAAGGAAATGAATAACAGCCCTGTTGCTTTATGACAAGCATTCTGGCAGGATGGTTGCCCCTTTGTCAAAGCATATTAACAGTCAGCATAGCTACATGTATACAACATTAATCATTAAACTTAACTATAAATATTTAAGATGTTGTCAGGCTACATGAATTGTTTATGGCTAAGATGTCGCAGCCATGTTCATATGTACAGTCATGTAAAATAAACATCTAACTGCTCTGTTTAGAAGCTTTAATGTCAGCTGGATGGCAACATTCATAGGCCCAGTGTTTTGGTTAATACCCAGGCAAACATAGATGTGATTATTGCACACACACACATTGGGAGTGTGTCAGACATTGGAAATATCTATAATATATAATATAATATAATAAAAACACACTACATGTTTGTTTTAAACCTGGTGTCAGGGAAGAGGACGGGCTTCTGGCTCAGCCAGCAGCCGCCGCTCCTTTGTAATTTACAGGTCTGCCACAGAGAGCTCAAGCAGCAAGAGGCGTAGTAGTATTTAGAAATGTGAAATGAACTCCAGATCAGGAGATTGAGCCACTGGTGGATGTATGATTTGTTCCTGTTGACTTTACTGCAGGGTTTTTTTTTCTGTGGGGATATGAATATATTTGCTTTTCTATGCAAGATTTAAGACTTGGCAGAAAACCATGAGCCTGAGGTTTTGTGTGGCAGCTTATGTGTGTGTTGGTAGTAGGTGGGAGTATTTTCAGTGTTTTCATGCCTCGGAAGTAATGTCTGCGTTTGTACTTTGCTCTGAGCTAATGTCACATGTAGAATCCTTCATGTCTTTGTGTAGTTTGTCAAGATGAACTTTGGTCAGGGCCACTGTTTATCACACTTCTGAGAATTACAGAATGCTGCACAGAGCCAACTCAGGAATTACAAAAGGTTTTCAAGTGAGAGGTATCGCACATGTTATGTTATAAAATATAGAATATAATGAATATAAAATTGAAGCGTAATAATAGTAGAGCAGACACTAAGGATACAGAGAAAGTGATTTTAAAAAGAAGAAAAATAGAATAATATCTTGTCAAATGTCCGATTAAAATCTGAATAATTACGTGGCCCTGAAGTGCACATCACAACAAATCTAAGAAAAATGACAAATAAGAAATGACACATTTTTGTTATTATCATCATATGAGTTTCTGTTTCTAATCTGCAGCCATTAAGGTTCTGCTCTTAACAAACTGGAACCTCGGAGCTCCTTGGATATTTTGTTGTCTGTTGTAATAAATCTGATAAACAGGTTTTGTGTTTTTTAAGTTTATCAATCAAGTGACTTTTATGTTTATCGTACTAATTGATTAGTAAGGGTTTCTTGAATTAGTGGGGTCATCACTTTATTGGACACAGTTGGGAAAGTGTTACTTTGCTGATCTTTATCTGTTCACGTGTCCCAGGGGTTCAATTTAGAGGAGCTTCAACCTTTCGAGTGGAGATCCCGGGTCACTGGGAGCCACAAGCTGCTGAACCTGGTGAGCAGAGATTGAGCAAACAACAGCAGGAGGAGGGATACTCTCTAAACGGCAGAGTCGTAAAAGTCAATATAAAGTCAGACTCACTTCAGGGTCACAGTTGCCTCACCGCTACTTCTCTCCTGTGACAAAAGGCTGAATTGAAATGACAGCAGACATTACAAAGCTCTCACATCAATGAGGATTGAGTCATAAAAAAAGTCTGAGATCTGACAACCTTTAAATGTAATTCAGGTTTTGACCTTAGACCCTCCTTTAACCCATCCAAATCTTCTTCTTGTAGCTGAATTACAATCCCAGGAGAGAATTTAAAATCTCACTTCTGCATTTCTCCTGTGAGTCTCTCTCCAGATGGGCGTGGTAACAGGACTCTAACCTGGCAATGACCATGTCAGACCCCAACATCTGGGCAACAGCCATAAAAAAATGGAGATGGCTCCGGTAAGCACTGGCTCCTGCCAGGTACAGAAAACCTGCCACATGCTGCCAAATAAGGGGCCATACAAAAATGCATTGTGTTACATAGTGCATTTTTTACATATCCTACAGCCCACAAACTACCCATTGTGGCCGCATGCCTCCGCCAACCAGCACAGTTTCAGTCTGCATACATTTGTTTAAGACTCATATGAAGTCACCATGACCTTTGACAACTAAGATCTATTAATTGTTCAATCCATGGGACAACTGGTCAAATTAATTCTGATGTCAAAGTGACCTTGACCTCCAATCACCAAAATTAAATCTGTTCATCTTTGAGTCTGATTTGAAGAAATTTCCTTTATGTTTTACTGAACTGTTGCATTCACAAAACCCTAATTGTTTTTCGTAATGTCACAGAAACTTGACCTTTGACCATTAAATTCTGATCAATTCATCTGTGAGTCTAACTGAACATTTGAACCGAATTTGAAGAAATTCCCTCAAGGCGTTGTTAAGAAATGTGTTTACAAGAATGGAATGGATGAACAATCTGGAAACATCATGCCTTCAGCCAACGGCTGTATTCTGGCACAGAGGCATAAAAACATATTCATGTTAACAACTCAATGTTTTAGATCGAGCACAAATATTCGGACAAATGGTTTTATTTGTTTTTTACTGTTGTTTGTCATGAGAAGATAAAGGTATAAAGGCCTTTGGGTTTAAAGTTGACAGAAACAGTCGCCTTAAAGGATTTGGTCATTTGCTTGTATTCACAGACCAGCTGGAAAAAATATGTGTAGGAGCACAGATGAGTAAGAGCGGTTCCTCCCCCTCCGCTGCTCTCAAGTACCCTTGAGCAAGTCGGCGAGCATCACACCAGGCAGCTCTTGATGCGTCAGTGTTTGAATGTCTGGAGCCTCTTCTCCTCTGCATCTCCTCCCCCGGGCAATTATAATTAAGATTGTGCTGTGAGTCCATCTTTCTGCTCAAGTAAAGGTTTGAAAATGAAA